GTTCCACACTTAAGTCTACAGCTGCTGTTCCAGACTCTTCATCGGTTCCATCCAGTTCAAAAGCCTTTTTATAGCAACCACAAGCTCTACTTTTGTCTCCAACTATGTCTTGGTAGTAGTTACCTAAATAACGAAAGACACTTCCCAAGTTGCTGTCCAATTTTGCAGCCTATAAGGAAATACAAACACAATGTAAGACAGCATTTTGAAGGATTATACGAAAGGACAGGTCCAGTGGTAACTACTTCCTCAGTCTTTGCTTACCAACTTATTTAAGCTCCTTCTGTGATACATCTGAGTAGTCAAACTTTATTTTAAGATTGCAGGGAATACTTGAGCTTTAAATGTTTTCAGAATCTGCTACAAACCTCACAGCACAAAGCATTTTGTACATGAAGTACTAGCACAGCTAGCTTGTTAGGAGAGAACAGTTCTTTACGACATCCCACAATTTTCAAGTTCTACTCAATTTCAACCATTATGCTCATACTCTTACCACATTACATCACAATTAACTCCGTCTTTTTCTAAAGTTTAAGGTCCTTTTTAGAAACACTTGGGAGATTTATTTATACTTAAGAAACCCACAGCCCTCAAGCCGCAGAAAACAGCTTTAACAATAATAGTTTTTTAAAAGCGCTCACACAGAACAGTTTAGAGACAAAATTATTGTTCGCACCAACCACATTCTCCAGTATACTCTGCGGTATCTGTAGTGCAAACAGCGGGCGATGATTTGAGTTGCCAACACCTATCACGAAGTTACATGGTGAGTTTACAATGTCTGGAGTCTTATTTTACATACTTCCAGGTTCCCAATCAAGACGTCTGACTAAATCTTTTGGATTCACATTCTTACCTATGTTCAGAGAAAAAGCCACAGCCCCCAAAACCCCAAAGACCAGGAAGAGTATATAAATTGTGGGGTTTTGCAGACTTACTTCCTTGTTCAGACATTGAAACTAACTCCATTCTCGTATTTTTTCCTTCCTCGCTTTTTTGCCCCACCAACCTGAATTTTTCCCTCCCCATTTCCAAATGCCCTCACAGATCCAGACAGCTCAACTAGAGGTCACCACCACTCTGTCTGGCTAAATCAAAGGCCTCAAGAATTAGCTGAAAAGTGGAAAACAAAAGCAGGGAGATTCCAGGTAACTGCACGGCTCCCTGCAATGTCTTTTTTCACAGCTGAAGTTCGTTTACAGGCTCTAGAGGTTTGTAAATGGTAACAAACAGAGCAGAATAGTCAAGTCTGTCATTCCAGTCAGTGTTATTTTCCATATTTGGTTTCTGATATAGAAAAACACTAATTCTACAGGAATAATTAAACCAATCTTTACCTTCAAGAACTGAGCAACTGCTTTTCCTTTGTCTTTTTTTGTCTCATCACTCATGAACCAGTATGTGAGCCCCAGGTACTGATGATACTCTGCAGTTTCAGCCTGTTTTTCAATAGCATTTAGAAAACTAAATAAAAGGAACAGAGGTCAGATCAGACAAATTCTCAGAAGCTGCAAACCACTATATTCTATTCTCCCCCAACATGTCCACTTTAAAGGAAAGAAAAAAAAAATCTACCTTCTTTCTGCCTGTTCATAATTCTTTTGGGACTGAGCCAGATCAGGGTGGGACAACAGAAGCTCTTGTGAAATCTGCAAAAGGATGTAATTCTTCCCTAGGCATTTCTTCTATGAAACCAAGAATTCTACTGTTTACAGGAATGATAATACAGCACTAACCTCTGAGGCTTGATCCATTAAACCTTTGATTAGATAAGCCTGACCTCTGATAGCTAAAACCACTGGATCGCTGCTTGCATCCACAATCTAGAAAACAAAGTAATAAGACAGCCAAATTATTCTCTCCCCAGATGAAGAAATCAGAGGTGTCAAAAGCAAGGAGACAGCATGAAGATAAAAGACAATAAAACATTTAGACAGAATTGGGAAGCCTTAGAGTAATTTTGATGGAGACCAGGTAGAAGATTGCAGAGAGCAAGGGCAAAGGTACAGAAGTCTAAACAGTGAAGAATTAAATTGTGAGACAAAAAAAGAGGGGAAGTAATTTCTGCTTCAACCTTAACCATTTGATCTTAAAAGTAATATGCCCTTGTTCATGACTAATGACAAGTGAATGAAGGACCTGGGGAGTAGGATTATAAGAATTCAAATTAAAACAAACAACAGCCATAGAACTAGCAAGAACCTGGCAGCACTGAGCAAGAACAGACAAGGTCAAAAGTGACAGCTTCCAAAATTAGAATTGTGAGTGAACAAAAGCTGGAGAAAAGCCTAAAAAAACAGAGAAGGAAGGAGTGCTTGGATTACACCACAGTTGATAGGAGTTGTCTAAACCACACAGAATATACAAAGGAAGCACAGGGAGAAATACAGCTTAAGTTTTTAGTACAGAAAATGAAAGCACTTTTTAAAACTAAAAAAAACCCACCACATTTTAGTCAACGAAAATACCTGCTCAAGTGCTTTAATGGCTTCTTCTGCAGCATCAGCATCACCAATTTTAATCAAAGCCTCTGCTTTCAACTGAAGGATAAGGTTCTTCCACCGAAGACTAGGACCCTCAGGTATTCCAAGAACCTCAAGAGCTATTGACAAGTTAAAAATTTCATCAAGTAAAAACAGAAAACAGAACTACAAAGAGCACCACCATTCCCAGTATTTTTAAAATCTTGTTAATTACAATTTTTCAGTTTAACAGAGCACCACTTAGCAGAACAAGTTTTATGAATGCTCTCCCCCATGTTGAAGAAACCTGTAAAATTTCTACCCATTCAAGTTTCAAAGATAAATCAATTTCAGAAGGGTCTTCTCAGACACGAAGACCCGTTGACAGACCAATTGCTTTCTAGATGCTGGCCTTATAAACGGAATGCTACATTTTCTCAGTCTATGTTCTGATGAAACAATGACCTTCAATAAAAAAGTTGTTTGACACTTCAGTGTTTAAAGGAAAAAATATTACTGAAACCAGGGATTTAACTCTGTGCCCATGGAAAGGTAACTCTGTACCTTTCTATACAGTATTGATTACTTCTCCAGTTCATATTACAATCTCACCTCAGAGAGCGAGGGCATCTCTGCTGAGCCTCAGCATTCTCCAAAGGCAAGAACTTTCTGAATAACTCAATTAACTATATATATTTTCACATATGATGAACTTTTGTCTCACTAGATACAGCCAGTAAGATGGGTCAAGCACAAAGCAACACTTCCCCGGAATTCTCTCTCCCTTCCCACACATTCTTTGCACTCAAATTTTGTGCATCAACAGCATCTTCTGGCAAGGCACAACAGCTTAACTCACACCTTGCACTGAGAAACAAAACTTAATTTGTTTGTTCAGAGCCTGCCAGCTTTTAGTTTCATTTGGTACTAACTAAACCTTGCACAGGAAAACAAAACACTTGTCTATCTTCTACATCACTTGCAACTTCACAGATTTCAAAAATCATCTCTTCTACGGGCTGGGAAAGGACTTAACGGGATATTTATTTGTTCTCATATGCTGCATTTTCCACACATTTATCGTCCTTATTACTAGTTTATTAACTTCTGCTATTATTTTCTTTTTGAGAAGGGGTGGATGGGTACAAAACTGCACACAGATTCCACCGTGATGGTAATGTTCTTTAAGCAACTGCATGTTGGTGCTCTGTTCACTAACCATTCCCTGCCCTGTTATTCCTAATATTTGACTTTCATACAAAATGAAGACCTTTCTGCTCTCTGCTTCAAGATGGCTGTAGGATAGCTTTGTGAGAATACTTCTTCCCAGAACTGCATGATTTTTCATTGAAGACGGGAATTTTTTCCATTATTTTAACAGTAATCCATTCCGGTAATCTCCCTTCAGTTTTTCAGTCTGCTCCTCATAGCAGCAAACTGCATAACCTTATTACTCAACACTCACAAAGGACTAAGAAGCAGATGAACAATGCAGGTACCCGTGGAAATGTCAAGGACACCTCCTTCCAGCCTGAAAATAGACATTATCACTACACTGTGCTCTAGCTTTTCACTTATTTAAAACTGACAAAAAACACTTGATGCTACAACTCTATTTCTTAACCCAAGGCTGCTTAGTTTCCTTAAAAGTCTTGTAAGGGATCTTATAAATTACCACTTGGCAATCAGAATAGACTGTATCACATTTCCCTTAACCCATGTGCTTGTAAACTCTTTCAAGGAGTTCTAAAATAAAATCTTCACAAAAGCCTTGCTGTCTATCTCCCAGAGTAACTTTTTTACATGAATTCCCTAATTCTTTCAGTTTTAACCAATTTAACCACTAAACGTACCAGCCTTGCCAGAGGTTTCCCTGATCACAGAATCCCAGAATCACCCAGGTTGGAAAAGCCCCTGAAGCTCCTCCAGCCCGACCATGACCCTCCCCCTGACCCTTCCCAACTCCCCCAGATCCCTCAGCGCTGGCTCAGCCCGACTCTTCAACCCCCCCAGGGATCCCGGGGACTCCCCCCTGCCCTGGGCAGCCCATTCCAACGCCCAACAGCCCCTTCTGCACAGAAATCCTTCCTCAGAGCCAGCCTGACCCTGCCCTGGGCAGCTTGAGGCCATTCCCTCGGGGCCTGGCGCTGGGGCCTTGGCTCCAGAGACTCATCCCCCCTCTCTGCCCCCTCCTGGCAGGGAGTTGCCGAGGGCCAGGAGGTCTCCCCTCAGCCTCCTCTTCTCCAGACTGAACCCCCCCAGTTCCCCCAGCCGCTCCCCAGCAGACCTGTGCTCCAGACCCTGCCCCAGCTCCGTTGCCCTTCTCTGGCCACGCTCGAGTCACTCAATGGCCTTTTTGGGGTGAGGGGCCCAGAACTGAACCCCCTCAGCGAGGGGCGGCCTCCCCAGTGCCGAGCCCAGGGCTCAGATCCCTTCCCTGTCCCTGCTGGCCACGCCAGTGCTGACACCAGCCAGGATGCCGTTGCCATCCTTGGCCCCCTGGGCACACTCTGGCTCATTATCAATCCCCCTCAGGTCCCTCTCTGACTCGTGACCAGCTGCCAACCAGATTTAACTCCCTTCACCACAACTCTCTGGGCCCGGCCATCAGACAGTTTTTTACCCAGCGAAGCTGTGCCCATCCAAGCCCCGGGCAGCCAGTTTCACCAGGAGAATGCTGTGGGAAACGGTGTCAAAGGCCTTGCTAAAGTCAAGGTAGACAACACCCACAGCCTTTCCCTCATCCAACAGGTAACTCATCCTGTTGTAGAAGGAGATCAGGTTTGTCAGGCAGGACCTGCCTTTCATGCTGACTGGGCCTGATCCCCTGGTTGTCCATTATATGACTTGTAATGGCACCCGAGATGACCTGCTCCATGACCGTCCCCGGCACCGAGGGCAGACTGACAGGTCTAGAGTTTCCTAGATCCTCCTTTCTGCCTGTCAGATTTGACACCCTCCAGTCCAATGGGACTTCCCCAGTTAGCCGTTATTTCAGGTAAATCACAGAAAGCAGCTTGGCAAGCACATCTGCCAAGTTTTTCAGCATCCTTGGGCGATCTTTCCTAGAATCCTTTTTAAAGGTTAGGGTCAGGCTATCTACCTTCAAGCATTTGGGTGCCAAGATGGTTTAAACAAACAGTTACAAAACCACTTAGCACTTCAGCAAATTCATCTTTATGTTCCTCAGTCAATTCCTAGGTTGGTCTCTCTTAGTTCCTTAATGCTATTTTTTCTTATTTTAGAGCAACTTATATTAAAGCCATCATCATAGGGAAGTTTGTTGATGAATCTCCTGAAAAGAAGGGTCATGGTGTAGAAGCCATGATGCGCTATTCCACACTGAACACAGATGGGAAAAGAATAATCTCATTTTTATTCTTTTTGCAGTAAATTTATTTTTACTTACATTGTCCTGTTTCCACATTTCCTCCACGCAAATTTGCTTTCTGAATCTCCCTCACTGCCAAGTACTTCCCCTGGTTTTAATAATTTCCCATGACTGTTTAGCCCTGTGTGCATACTTTCATCTCTTCAAGTCTTTCTTGCAAACTTTCATTGCCCTGTCAGAAAAGTCCACTTTGGCTGCCCCTTCATTTATAACCATCAGATAATGGCTCTATTTAGATTAGATACGCATCACTAGGTCATAAAACTGCCCTCATTCCCAGCTAACATGGATGAAGAGTTACACTCATAGTAAGGTCTCTTAACATACAGTCACACTACGCAACGTTTATGCATTTTACATTAACTCGATTATAAGTCTAAATATGAAGTCTACCAGACTAAAAATTTGTGACACCTACCCCCACGCTTTCAGGCAATTATCTGCTGTTTGGTGGAAGTTGGTCAACTACCAGCTGAAGAAGCACATCAGAACATGCAAATCTTCTAAATATTAATCATGAGACAGCTTTCTGGTTCTCTTTTCCTGAAACTAAGCAGCACAAGGTGCTTTTCAGCTTTCATAAACCAAGAGAACCCCACAACATTTAAGACTGCAAAAAGCAAAGGACTACAACTGCTGCTAACTCAGACCTACCATGAAAAGGCCACACTGGCTGGACTACATAAAGTGGTGTAACCCTGCAGATGCTCTTTCAATTAGTGAGCAGTTACCTTGATTGCAGGTCAGGACAGCATCCCTGTATCTGTGAATTTTCCTCTGTGCGTTTGCCAAACAATGCCATGCTGCTGGACACTGGCTAGTCTTCTTCAAACCTAATAAAAAAGGAGTTTAAAAAAAAGCACTGAAAAATGTTGCTCAGGGCTGCAAAAAACCTGTAGCTGGCAGATGTGGTATTGCCACATAATGCCATCAGAAACATATTATCAATCATATAATAAGACCTACAGTTAATTTTTTTTTCGAGTCTTACTATAAACTGTTTTAAACATACAGGCCTCCATGCAGTATGGCAAAGACTAAGAAGCATGTAAGCTTCTTGGGCTTCCTTCTGCATATCACATTACATAGATAGGAAAAAAAAAACCACAACAAAACAGAGGAAAAGCAAGGAAATATACAACACTAATTAGGGTGTACTTTTGTTTCAAAAAGAAAAACGTTCTTCACTTTGATCAGACATTAACATCAGCAGCCTGTAGATAGCTTTATTAAGTGTTTCTTAGAAACCAGAGAAGGTCTATGGAACTTTAAGACAGCAAAAAATTATGAAAAGTGTTCCACCATAACTTCCTGATAAACCTGCCTTAATTCAAGATTCAGTCATAAAACTGAATTTGAGTCTTCTGAGATATAGATAGATAGATAGATAGATAGATAGATAGATAGATAACTATTAAATAATGCCTTGAAGTTTCAGTGACTAAAATGCAAACTGGAAAAGAAATGATTTCCAAGCTTTAGACATTTACACATTATAGCGAGAGCCTTGCCCTTTTCATTCTCCTCTTTGTGAGCAGAGTATTACACATGAAGGTAAAAATAAACTAACTCATTTGTGAGATGTATGTTTTGTCAAAACATCCAATGGCATTTAACTCAGAGCATTTGCTTTTCGTGGAAGGTGTTTTCCTCTTAAGCACCTGAAATTTTTATTTCAGATTTTAGGCAAGACATGTTACTTCACTGTGTGTAAGTGACTCTAGAATATTATAGAATATTGCGAAATCCTGTTTCAGAAACAATCTTATTCTAAACCTGGGTGAAAGGATGCAGCATAATTGAGATTAGTCTGACTGACTCGCGATCACTTAGACCCCAAATGCTTATTTATCCAGCTTTCTCAACAACCTGTTTTGAATTTTCCAGGGCCAGCACCATGACAGTGAAGAGTCCTATTTCCCACTAGCATACTTAGTAATAGTTTACAAAGTGCTTTGTCATTTCAGTACAAGCAAGGTAATAACAGAGCAGTAAACCAACTCTTCAGCAAAACTGTCTACTGTAAAAAAAGAACAAAGTCCTCCGATATTTCTCTTTGAATACCCAATACAAGTGTTCACCCAACATGAGGGTTAAAGAGGTCTTAAAGTGATGTAAACTAAAGGGAAGTCATCTTTGCTCAGGTACAGAAAAGCAGTGCTTAGATTAGAGGAGCTGCATTATATTTTACTTTATAAATTCCATATTCCTTCATCAGTTGCTACCGCTGTATTTACTGCCTCATCTAGGTATCTCCCCAGTAACAGTCAGATTTAAAGGTAAAGTTTAAAGTTGATCACACTAAACCACTATAGAGCTGACTATAACAGCAATGACAGACTTCAGAAATGTTATACTTAAAGCTATATTTTAAAAAATTTCCATGCCCAATCAGAGAGAGTTTTTAAATCTAGCTGGTCTTAGAACTAGCAAAGTACTGTGCAAGTGTCAGATTCCCAAAATATCCAGCATAAACTATCTGGTGTTCAAATTACAGAGTACTTGCACCTCGTATTACACATTTACCTTCAGTAAGACTCTCAATAGCCTCCTTGTATTTCTTTTCTTGGAAGCATTTTAGACCAAAACCAATGATGCCTGGGCCACTACTTGCATCCATCTCTAAAAGCCTAGAAAAACAGCGCAAGGCCTCTTCCGACAAAGTACCTGGTTTAAAAAAAAAAAAAAAAACATTTTATAGAGTGTCAGATTTTAAAAAATGCAACAGCATAACATCTACATAAATATGACCCTTATCCTTTGAGCTCAATGCAATGAATTTATTAACTAAACTTTTTTCCAAAGGTACTATGCACTTATCACCCCCACCCCCAAAACCAAACCCAAAAAGCAACCAGTAATCTAAACAGCCACTACCACCAAACAAACTGTCAGTCTGAAACCTGAATTTTTAACCAGTTGTGTTAAATTACTACAGGTATACTTCCTTTATCAATAAAAAGTAATTCCTTCATATGCTTTTCATGTAAGCCCAGCTGAATGTCCCCATATCAAAATCTTCCACAAATACTCAAAATTTCCTTTCAGAGTAGGCCTTGTAGCTACAAATTTTCTCTGATGAGTTTGCTAGAACAGTCTTTTTGTGAACTCACATAAATTAATGCCTTGGCTTAATTTTAATTGGTACCACTAGATTTTTATGTTTGTATTTAGTTGTGATTGCAGAATTTGCAGTCCTTGCTTAAAGGACCTGTTGTGACTTGCAGCAACAGTCTTCAAACTACTATTTTCTTTAAAAAATGATGGACTCATTTGACATAAAGGTTGCCTTCGATTTTGCATTTTGTAAAGGTGACTAATAATGCATCCAAGTTACAACTCCACAGGCTTGGGTCATGAAGGACTATGACATGGATGAAACGACTCAGAAATAAACAGCCTTACTCAAACCTGACCATCATCCTCCCCACCCCAAGATGACTGTGGGATGGTGAGATGTTGTCAGAGCACTGCTATACAAGAACTGTGCCAACCAGATGGTCCTTTTCCTTTGGAAATTGGTTTCTGCATGTTTCTCCGAACTGTAAAGCATTTTCATGTGAAAATGAGAGTCTGGGCCTCATTTGCCTTCATCCTTTCAGATCACAGTGAAAAATGCTCTTATTTTGTGTTGCTGTATTCTGAAGCCTACCTTCAATACTGGAAAAGGCTTTCTACCTAAGCTGAAAGTTATTTCTCTTTACATAAACCAGAGGGTTTTTTTTTCCTGATTTTAAAAATAAATTAATTCCTGGTTTTAACAAAAAGTAAAATCAACTTCTGATGCCTTAAACAATAAAATGAAAGACCAAAATTTAGTAGTTATCTTTGAAAGTGTTGAGAAAATGTTCAACATTATTACAGTGTTGTTTAGGGAACTACTGAAAATAGCAACTGTTTACTTTCAGATTGAAAGCACTATTGAACACACCACGTTATTTTTTTTTCCTCGGAGTTTCTCCTTTTCTACTTAGAATAAATATCTAAACAGATCTCCTTACTCCCTATTCACCAGGCATTCTTTTCAACAAGGCTTCACAAATGTTTGCTTTATTCACCAAGAGAGATTTTCTGTGTTAAGAATAACCTAAGGGTAGTCCATCTTCAGCCCTGGGTCACTGGTTAACATTCTCCATTCCCTCTTCTAAGCTTAAGAAGTTAACCCTCATTTATCCAAAGAGGCTGCTTTGAGTTCTGTAAGGCACCTTTCTTGGCGACTTTGTATACTGCCAGAGCTGGACTTAACTCGCAGAAGTTTTTTTTTGCAATTTACAGTGACCACTTAGTTAAAAGAGCTAGGAAACAGCAAATCATAGGACCAAACGCTTTTCATTTCCAGACAGGCAGAAATATAACACAAAAGTAAATAGTGCACTCGTATTGAGCTGTGAAGGGTGAAAATCTGTAAAAAGGCTGTCACAAAACTAACCATAAAAGAAATCATTTAAGCCCCCCAAATGTCTAAATCCATCCTACTCACCTGACTGAACATGGTGCAAGCAAAGTACTTCTAAAGGATAACTCACAGTAGGATACAAAGCCATCATATCATCACAAGCCCTTTCCAACTTAGCTGTTTCATGAGGAAACTTGGAAGGAAAAAAAAATACATGTTTATTTGTGTGAATCATCAGATGCAAAATATTACATGTATTCACTGATGAAGACAGATTAACATAACCTTACTTTTGACAAGCACTGAATAAAGTCCTTGTAAAGATTTTGATGGTCTTCACTGGGACCAGAGTCAGCAGAGTTCACCGCATGTTCAAAAGCAGTCAAAAGCTGAAATAAAAAATAATTAGGAGAGCCACAATGACTTTAGGACAACATTATCTTCATAGAATAGAGTACTTCATTTGGGAGGGACCTACAAGGATCATCTAGTCCAACTGACCGAGCATTCAGGGCTGGCCAAGAGTTCAATCACGTTTTTAAGGGCTGTGACCAAATGCCTCCTAAACACTGACAGGCCTAGGGCATCGACTCCCTCTCCAGGAAGCCTGTTCCACGGCCTGACCACTCTCCTGCTAAAGAAATGCTTCCTCGTGTCCAGTCTGAACCTGCCCTGGTGCAGCTCTGAACCATTCCTGCATGTCCTGTCGCTGGATCCCAGGCAGAGCTCAGCACCTCCCTCCCCACGCCCCCCCCCCACTCAGGCAGCTGCAGAGCCATGAGGTCGCCCCTCAGCCATCTCTTCTCCAAACGAGACAAACCCAGAGCTCTCAGCCCCTCCTCACAGGACATGTCTTCCAGCCCTTCAGTTTACACTAGTGAACAGAGAAAGTCACAAAGCAAGTTCCTTATCATGTAGTAGTTCTCATATAGGATCCAAGGCGAGTTAATTGTCACAAGGTGATGCAGTAATACACTGTTTCATTATGTAAGATGGGTACAAGGAAGGCAAAAATCTGTAAGAACATAGATTCTTCATATACCTAATCCCAAATCAAAGATGGTACCACAAAACCCAGGGTATTATCCTTTATGGTTAGCTGTCAGGTGGGCCCCCTGCCCTAGTCTAGAAAAGAGTCTTTTATTTTGTGTCTCCTTATATATTGGAGAATACAGGCACCACAGAGCACAGGCTACCACGCTAAACAAAAATTTCCCACAGCCTGTCACAAGTGAAATACTGAATAGGATGTTGCCTTCAATGCAACAACCTTCCAGGTTCAGGTGCTTTACTCGGAACTGCAGTAAAAGCAAACTGTAGATTTGCATGTCAAACCCATTCATGATGTTTAGGGAACTTCTTTTTTTAGCCTTCTTGTCCCCAGAAAAGAAAGCAGTGCTGCCTGCAGCACCTCTTTTCTATGATAGCTCAGAAGTTAAAGCATTTGCCTGCTCAAAACCAAAACCATATTCAACTTTCTGCTGTCTGAGATTATTTCAATTTATATTTTCTATCTTTCTGAAGCAGTGCTATCAACTACACTGGTGAAGTGTCCACCCTTCCTCCTGAAGGAGGCTAATCTTGCAGGAACAGATAAATCAGGTAAAACAAAATTGACTTTGGCCATAGAGTACACAGGATCAGTACAACTCATCTTCATTCTGTTTGCTCCGATTAGTTTTGATACTCTCCTAAGAGGTGCAAGCTTAAAATCTACAGGAGAAAATCTGAACCAAAACATTGCTATATAGAAGTACTAGGTGCAGAGAAATGGAAAAACAGCACACCCTGGAGGAAAGGGGGAGCTTCTTGTTTTGAGTAACACCTCTACTGTGTTTGCTTGGCAAGGGTTTGGTAGCCGGGGGCTGCAGGGTGGCTTCTGTGAGAAGGTGCTGGAAGCTTCCCCATGTCCCGCAGGGCCAACGCCAGCCGGCGCCCAGACGGACCCGCCGCGGGCCAAGGCCCTGCCCGTCAGCCGCGGTG